TGCTGCCCTTTTGGTGTTTACCACTTGGTGGCCTTACTAATTTGTTCCAGTGGTTTTCTGGGTACAGAGGAAGGCCGACTCATCTAGAGTCTTCTGGATCCTTTTTTTTCCCTTTCCTTCAAGCAAATGGTGAATTGGGCATCTGTATCCTCCTGGGACATGGCTCCATGCTAGGTCTGTGATCCCCTGTCACCCTCCAACCTTGCCACTGTTGACAGTGAACGCTTGTCACCCCATCACATGGTGAAACCCACCACCTCCAGGGACAAGCAACAGCTGTAGGATCCCTTTCAGGCTGGACAGTCTTCATAGTCAAGCCCTTGGAATAGAGGGGTGGGGTCCACCTGCCCCAGGGTAGATTTGAGGCAAAGGGGATCCTCTGGAAATGGGGATATGCCCAAGCTAGACTGTAGAGAGGGGACATTGCCCCATCACCCCCTGGACTTCTGGGATGGAGAGGGATGCTGAGCAGTGGGGAGAGATTGAAGGGAGGAGGTGGCTGTGAAGATACAGGCAGGCGCCACCCCAAATGGGTTTGGGTTCCCTGTTCATCTAGCGGGCCTCGTGACAGTCCCTGCAGGCATAAGGAGAGAGACTGGCCCCCTCCAACAAGGCTCTGCCCCAGTGCCATGGGTGGTGGGTTTGGTCTTGGGGGTGGTGGAGCCCAGGGCTCCTGCCTGGCTGGGGGGCTCAGGCTGCCTCGCTTGTCCTCCGAGCCCCCACGCACCAGGATCCGGCCTCCTGGCATCCTCCTCGAGCAGCAGATCCCGCCAAAGGGAGGAAGAGAGAGAAGGAGAAACTGTGGAGCCGACTCAAAGCAAAACTAGAGAAAGCAAAATGAGGGCGGTGGAAGGAAACGCAGATGTTCTGCAAGCCCAGAGCACGCTCGGCAAAAGCCAGGGTGAGGCTCTCAGTGGGACGGAACAGAGGAGATGCTGTGGGCCTGGACCCCTCAGGACACATCAGGGCTGTGCAAGTTGGCCATGGTTAGGGGTCCAGGCAACCTGGCCAGCAGCCCACCTTCCCATCAACCACCCATGGCACCCCCCAGCTCACCCCAGCCTGTCCCCTCCAGGACCGACAGCTGCTTTCCCAGCGAGACAAGGCCATGGCAATGCTCCCCGGACAGGGGACAGACCACTCCCACCCCAAGATCATCCCATTATCCCAGGGGCCAAATAACCCACACACCCCGCTGCAGCACCTCCAGCCCAACCTCTCCAAAACCAAAACACATCTCTGAGATCTCCCAGTGGCAAGGACGGTCCTCACTTGTAAGTGACCTTACTGCTACACAACCTTCTCCCCCCAGCATCTGCAACGTCCCATTTTGCAGGAATGGTGCTTTGCTGCTCCATGGCATGGCTTTCCCTGAAGACACAAGCAGCAGGAGAGGTCTTCCTCTCCATCTTCATCTGTCTGCACAGTTTTCTTGAGACCTGGGTTTTGAGCTCGGGTTTCTTTAAGAGGTGCTTGCTCACATGTTGTTCCCAATCACCTTTAATCAAGGCTGGGGTGTATAAGGAGCCAGGCTGGCTCTCAAACATCTGTATGGGGGATTTTGCTTGCTGAGGTGTAGCTCAGGTGTGCTGAAGTCAGACATCCAGCTTCCTGTGGATGAAGACAGGGATCAGCCTCAGCTCTCTGAGGTCTCCCAGCAGGGTCTGGCAGTTCCCCATCAGCAAGACCCCAGTCGGGGACTGGGGATGAGCTCTGCTCTCCGGAGGTACCAGCTGGCGTGTGGTCCCAGGGAGCTGACAAAGCATTTTGACACCGATGCTGGTGGCAGCCACTCCTCGTGGGAGCTCTGGGTGTCCACGGTTGGAAGTGGTTGCTGCAATTGCCAGACCAGAGTGTGCAGGAAGCACAGCAGCTTTGGCACCCACAGCCGCCCCCTCAGCTGCACCCAGGTCCTGGCGTGGAAGGAGCTGTGGCACACGGATGGCAGGGGTCTGGGGCTGGCCAAGGGGCTGTGTCTGCAGCGGTGTGCATGTCCTCACAGTAAGGGAGGCGGGGTATGTATTTAGCATACAGTAGCTGTGTAAATCTAAGGGTGTGTACATAGATTTGCCTGAGGAGCTGTGTCCACATTTGTGTTCATGAGCACTTGTGTGTGCTTGCACAAAAGGGTACCTGGCTAGGCTGGGGATGTTTGCTCTGGGGTGATATAGGAAAAAAAAAATTGGAATCCCCCCCAGTTTGGCTGCTGTGCCCTTGTGAGCACAAAGCAAAGCATGGGGGAAGGGGCTGTCAGGAGCATCCTTTATCACTCATAGTCATGATGCTGGCAGGAATGAGGTGGGCAGACCCAAACCTATACCCTGTCCCCTCTGGCCTTTCAGGAGTCATTCCCGGAGACGGCACATCCTGAGAGCAAGTAAAAGTCAGGTCTAGGTGCTATTTAATTTTACAGGGCTCTGTTCTTCTCCTGCTTTCATTGCTGTAAGCCTCAATTTTCCCAAAAAGGTATGCTGAGGACCAGACCGGGCCCCTGCTCTGACTCTGTCGGTGAGCAGTGGCTCTGCAGCACAGGGCTTAGCTCCAGCGGCTGCAGCTGCTGCAGGGAGCGAGGTCAAAAATCAAAGCCAGGTGGCAGGGTCTGCCTAACCGCTCGGCAGCAAACCTCTTCTCCGCAACCCAAACCAAAGACCACTGAAACCCTGCCACCCACGCCCCTCCAGAGCCAGCAAAGCAGCTGCAGCAGGAAGTATGTACCCCCAAACCATACCAAGCCCATCACAGCCCAGCCTCTTCCTAGTGCAGGCAGGGGAAGCCTGCAGCAAGACGTGAGGTGTCAGCTCAGCCCACCCAGAAAACCTGAGGCAAGCCTTGGCATCATAGGTGGAAATGAGTTTGCTTGGGTCCCTGCTTAGTCTGGAGTGGAGAAAAGGGGCATAAACCTGTCAGTTGGCACAAATAGCGGGCTGCCAGCTGGTATGGGTGCAGTGGTGGGCAGACGAAGGAGGGCCGTGATACGGAGCGAGGGGCAGGGGAAGGAGGGATGTGGGATGGTGGAGCTGGGAAAGCCAGAACTGGGGACTCCTCAGGATGGGAGGTAAAATAGCTTCCTCCAGATCCTGCGCAGTGACTCCAGGAAGACTGAACTACTATCATCACGCTGGAGGGAGAGTCAAAACCAGGGGTGGCTGCTCTCCTGGCTTGCACGGAAAGACAGGAGCAGCTCCTTCACACAACTGCGCTGGGGTCTCCATCCCTGAGCAGGATGCTGGGGCATGGGAGCTGACACTCATCTCAGGGCACTGCTTGGTTTGGGGATGCACAGTTGGGGGCTTGAAACCTGCATCCCACCTGGAGCTTATCGCAGCTCTATTCCTGCTCTGGCCAGCACAGCCAGTGCTATGCCCAGCACAGGGGACCATAGATCAGGTCTCTGCCAGTGCTGGGCACCCTGTCCTCCAAACCGGGATGAGAGACGGTGCCCGGTAGCCTGGAGCATCTCCACCACTCAGCCCACACACACCCAGGCCTCAGCCTTGCTCCCTTCAAGGGGCAGGATTGCAGCCAGGCTGCTGGGGGGCTGCAGGGGCACAGGCACTGCCACAGGCTGCGTGTTCTCCCATCCCAAATGGCAGCAGGAGGTGCTCTTGCTACACCTCTGCCACCACTGGATGGCTTGGGAGCCTGCGACCAGCTGCAGACCATCCACCAAGAGGGGAAGGTACCCCAGCCCCAACCATTCCTGGAGGAGCTGTGGCTGCCGCCGGGGCATGCAGGAAGGGCTGAAGACCCAGCACCTCTGCTGCCCAAGAGGCAGGACAGAAAACATGAAGCAGGACCCACTCTCTCACCAGCATCGTGTCTGACGGGAAAGCCAAAACCAAAACTGCTGACTGAGCTCCTGCATCTTGCCTGCGGAGGCTGCCTCGGCTTTCCGGGCGAGCCGAGCCTGGCCAGCCACAGCGGGTTGGAGCTGCTGGGGTTGCATGGTCACATGCCAGGGTAAGGAGTAGGGCTGCTGCTTGCAAACAGTCCCACCAGGCTGAGCTGCTTATTGGCATGAGTAAATCTTGTGGGACCAAGCGGAGCCACCGTATCCACCCTCCTGCTTTGAGGAACAGTGAAAACCATCCCAGACAGATGTTCATCCCATCTGGTTCCCTCTGGAGGTTTCTGAAGGAGTTTCCAGCTCCTGCAGGGAACGAACTGCAGTGCCTGGCATGCCTCACCCCTTCCCCCAGCACCTGGGCTGGCTCCTGCAAGGCTGCGCTGGTTTTACTGGGGGTAAGGGAAAAAGAAACCTGCTGACTGTGCCGCCAAATTGTGAGATGCAAATGACTCTTCTCTGTTTCCGCTGGGTTTCACTGCCTCCCAGCAGGTCTCTGCTGCCTCCAAATCCTCTCCTTACCAGGGTTTCTCCCCTCTCGAGTAGTTGTTGCTGCTCTCTGTTCCAGTTTCTGGCAGGTGGCACATCCCCAGCATCGCTTTTGAGAGGGGAAAATGGGAGTTTGGAACCAGAAAGCTGCACTGAGCACGATGCCATGAGCCTTGCCCTGGCTGATGGCAGCCAGGCCCCCGGCATGGCAGGGATGCTCGTCCCTATCTGAGCAAGGACCCCGAGACCAGCCTGGTAAGGGGGAGCTTGGTTTGCAGCTGCATTTGGGGGCCAGCCTAGACAGTGGCAAGAGGAAAAAGAGCAGCTTCTTCTCTAAATTATTAAGAGCAGCTTCGTGGAAGAGCAGCTTGCGTATCACATAGAGAGGCCCAGGAACCACAACAGACGCTGCCACCTCCCGGCTCTCGCCTGCGCGCTGCCAAGAGCCGTTATTTGCCTGCCCACGCGCTTGCCATCACGAGTCAACAAACTCCCCGGACGTGAAACCCTTTATTCACCCCCCCCCAGGGCCAGATCCGTCTCCCACCTGTGGAGGGAGGGACGGATGCAGGGGTAGATTTCCCCTCTTGCAGAGGAGGAAAATGCCCAGAGAGGAGCAAAATGCCCAGAGAGAGGAGGAAAACTAGCTGCCTGCTTCCCAGGGGTTTCTTTAAATAGCAGTACACAAGGCAGTCTCTGCCCCAGGTGAGGAGAAGCCCTCAGCCCCAGGCTCTTGCAAGTGGCATCTCCCAGGATCCACTCCAGCACTGGCCTCCAGTGTTTCCTCCCACAGTCGTGCTTTGTCAGTTGGGTCAGACCCGGGTGAGGGAAGCAGCGTGGCCACTCTGGAAAGCCACAGACAGAAGTAGAAAACCGAGGTGGGTTGTAAATTGCCTTTGGCCCAGCCCTGTGGGCATCGCTGCTCTGCCCCAAGCCCATCCTCCCTGCCCTGAGTGAAGAGGTGGCACATGGAGCGCAGCAGGGACCTTCCTCATCCCCTGGTACCCACCCCATGGCCATGATCCCACTGTGGCCAGGACTGTCCGATACCAACTCCAGCAGCGGTGCCTCTGTCACTCTGGTCCTTGCACACTGGATTTTTTCCCAAACCACAGTGGGAGCAAGGGGCCGGGGCACCCTGTCCCTGCCCGCACCCCTCGGCAGGGAGGGACCCTGACCCTCAGCAGGGCTGCAACTGCAGCTGCTGAGTCTTCTCGTCCTGGTGTTTCTTCCCCCGCTCCGGCGTGACAGGTTTATCCTCTGAGAAGATGATGGTGGCATATTCGGTCTGGTCAACAGGCTGGGTCTCAGGAGGCACCTGGCTGCGTTTGTCCCTCTGAAAATCCAGCACGCCATAGTCCACAGTGGACACAGACACCATGGGGGGCTTCTCTTCCTTCTGCAACAAAACCTCATCAGGGCACTTCATCATCCGGAGGTACCTGCCATCCCCAGCACAAGCCCCCTTTTTACAGCAAGTGCCAAAACCAGCTCTGAAGCATCCCAGGAGGGCAAGACCAATACAAAGCAGAAAGACGCACAGACCTGGGATAGCATTTGCCCAGAGAAACCAGACTGTGAGCTTTGGGGTCACCACCAAGACCCTGTGGGTCTCAGCTCTCTGCCTGCCCAGGCATTGAAGTCACGGTCATGCTAGGAGCCCTTTTCCCACCTCTCCATTGGGCTCTGGGCCAGCACAGGGTGCATGAGGGTTGCCCAGGGCCAAGTTTGCTCAGCCGGGATAGAGGAGATGAATGGGCGACCTACTCACTGCCTTCAGCTACCTAACAGGTTTGGAGAGAAGATCAAGCCAGACTCCTCCCTGCAGTGCCCAGCAAAAGGAAGAGAGGAAACTGGGACTAGCTGTAGCAAGAGAAATTTTAGCTTAATATAGGGGGCGGTGGGGAATGTTATCTCTCATTTTCTACAGCAACACAATCCACTGTCAAAGACAACCCTGCTTTGAGCAAGGGCTGGTTACAGAGATCTCATCCTACCTCAGGCAGTTTTTTGATTGTGATGAGGCTGTGCTGCAGGTGCAAAAAAGCAGTTGTAGCTGTGCAGAAAAGATTGAGCAGCATCAGAGAAGACAAGAGAAGCGAGAAGCCTGTGAAGGGCTGATAAAGGGAGGCCCTGCACCCTCCGCACCCCAGCGATGCCGCGATGCTCCCCTGCAGCACGGCACGGACGGAAAACTCACCGCTGGCATGTTTTCACTTGGTGGTTTCTGCACATCTGCAAGGTAACAGATTTGGTTAGAACATGCTTGTGTGCCAGGACAGCGTGAGCATCCGGGGCTGGGGCTAACCCAGCCCCCAGGTCCTAAGAGAGCACTGGACACCATAACCATTGCACCACGCTTCCTCCTTCTCCAATGAGGGTCTAACACCCTGAGCACTAGAAGGACAAGTGAGATACCAGCCCATGGTCTAGGGTTTAACTGAGATTAGTGGGGTGCAATTCCTCAGGGGTCCCCTCTGGGAGAGCCCTCCTGGCTGCCCATAGTGTGGTCAAGGCAATGCCCAGTGCTGAGGCAAGGAGACAAGATGCCCTGAAGGTGCCCGGGCAAGATGCATGGGAGGGACTCACATGCAGTATTAAGGCACCATGCTAACGAGTGGTTCAGGGCCACAGCGCGTGGTCTGGGGGCTCTACAAAGGGCAAGCATGGCCCAAAGTACCCTTCTCCTTTAGACATGGAGATACCTGTCCCATGGGGACATGCCACAGCTGAGTTTAGCACATTGAACCTGCCCGTGTACCCCAGGGAGCTGCAGCCATCTGCCTGCCCCTGGCTTCAAGCTGGGTTTGTTGGAAAGCATCACTCTGTCACGTCCCCTGGCAGACCGAGCCCCCTTGGCACAGCACAGCCCCCACAGGGGATCATACCTCCTCTCCTGTATGTGACAGTGAGGTAGCCAAAGATCAGCAGCACAACCGCCCCAGCCAGCAGCAGGATGCCCAGGAGCATGGCCTTGACATGGTCCGGGGGATTGTTTTCCTCTGTCTCAGGATCGTCGGTGGCGTTTGTCTTCTGAGGGGCTGCTGTAATAGGAATCCAAAAAAGGGGGAACAAAACAGCAGGTCAGGAGGGTAAAATGGCCTCTGTAGTCCCTGGGAAAGTCAACAGGGGAACACAGGGACTGTCCCCAGAAAGGGCTCAGTCCCAGGCAGGCTGCCACAGCCCCACCATCCCTCCAGGGGTCCTGAATTTGGGCTGCCATGGGGGATGTTTTGGCCATGTCCCACTCCTTCCCATTGCAGGTGGTAAGGATGATCCCACACCGCCGGGAGCTGGGGTACAAGGGGTCAAAGCACTGCAGTCCCGTGGGATGACCCCATGCCCAGCAGAGCCCTGTGGAGGATGCGGCTTCCCCCAAGCCTCCCAGCTGCTTCCACGTCCTGGGGCCAGCACAGCTTCAGCTCATGTCAGGAGGAGATGTTGAGAAAGACAGTAACTTTTGCAAGGTTTTTCCTTTTTATAAAAGGCCACCTTCAGCCCCCCAAAGCCTCCATGCTGCCCAGCAAGTGCGTGGCATATCTTCCTGCAAGATCTCAGTCTCCCACGCCATGGGGCTACAAGACCCTCCCAGGGCATGGGTTTGCAAGAACAGTATCTACATCAACACCAGCTGTTCAAGGGATCTGAGCCCTGGTCATCACCCAAAACACAAGCCCTGTCCCCAAATAAAGGAGCTGTTCAGGGGTACAGGCAGGTCCCTGTGCTGGTCTCCTGCCTCTGTCTATGGATAAGGACTCTCACTCCTCCTCACAGCATCGTTGGGGACGCAGCCCCAGCAGGATGAAGCCCTCCTGCCTCAGGGCCAGATCCAGCCGCAGTGTGGATGGGGGATCACAGCCTGCGGCCTTGGGCATCGACCAGGCATGCAAAGGAGAGGGGAAGGGGCAGAGCTGTGCTCTCCTGACCTGCACCATGTCCTCCCCCAGCAGGGTACTGCCCGCCTTGTGCCCTGGGGCTGCAGTGTGCCTGGGGGCCATAGCACCACCGGACAACACCAACGACCTGTCCCCATCAGCCCAGCCCCCAGGCTGACCTGTGACCACCAGGTGGGACCGGTTGCTCTCCATCACTTTATCGGGTTCAAAGAAAGTGATCAGTCCACAGTAGTAGGAGCCCGAGTCATTCTGGTGAAGGTTCAGGATCTCGATCTTGAAGGCAGGAGTGTGGTTGGTGAGCAGGTACTTCCCTGTGTCCATCGGGGGGTTATTCCGGCTGATCTCAGCAATTTTTTGGGCTTGGCTATGGTTGGTCTCCTTGTACCAATTGAGGCTGTACTCTGAGACAGAGTCGCTCTCCACAGAGATGTTGCAGAAGAAGGTGGCTGATTCGCCTGCAGGGCGAGTTAACACAGCTGGGAATAAGGTCACTGTTTGGGAGAGAGGAAACAAGGAACAGACATGGTTATAGTGGGCACAGGTCTCAGAAACAGCCGTACCCCCTGTGCAGGAACCAGGGGTGCAAAGAGGGTGAGAGCCCACCATCACCCTCACTAGCACCTCATCCTACGGAGAAGCGATGGGCTCCTATGTCCCAAGCCCAGAGGCTCCACACATTCCTCAGCTGTTTCACCCTCAGCTCCTAAAGATCCCTACAGGGATTTATAAAAACCTGCTGGCAAGCATTTGCAAAGCCCAGCCCCATGCCATCGCCAGCACCCAGCTCACCTGCAGCCAGGCTCTGGGGTTTGCCAGCGACGCAGGCAGCCTGATGCTTGGCCAGTCCACAGCATCACCCCAAATCACAGGGAGGTACATCACAGAATCATAGAATCATAGAATGCTTTGGGATGGAAGGGACCTTTAGAGGTCATCTAGTCCAACCCCCCTGCAGTGAGCAGGGACACCGCTAACCAGATCAGGTTGCTCAGAGCCCCGGCCAACCTGGTCTTGAATGTTTCCAGGGATGGGGCATCCACTACCTCTCTGGGCAACCTGTTCCAGTGTTTCACCACCCTCATTGGAAAGAACTTCTTCCTTATATCTAGTCTAAACCTACCCTGGTTTAGTTTAAAACCATTACCCCTTGTCCTGTCACAGCAGGCCTTGCTAAAAAGATTGTCCCCATCTTTCCTATAGGCCCCCTTTAGGTACTGAAAGGCCGCAATCAGGTCTCCCCACAGCCTTCTCTTCTCCAGGCTGAACAAGGCCAACTCTCCCAGCCTGTCCTCATAGGAGAGGTGCTCCAGCCCTCAGATCATTTTTGTGGCCTCCTCTAGACCCGCTCCAACAGGTCCATGTCCATCTTGCGCTGAGGGCCCCAGAGCTGGATGCAGTGCATCAGCCCCTGCCTCTCCCGCCCTGAGTGCATTGCCTGCCAGCTGGAGGGGGGACCTTCAAGGGCAGTAACTGTACCGTGAAGTGGTTTCAGCAGAGCGAACTGTGCTCTGGTCTACATAAAATTAACGCAGAACACCGGTAGTGGGGAAAACGGACTTTGGGGGTTGTATTATTTTAAAATGTATGCTTATTTTAATGTCTGAATCATCCTTCCTCCAGCTGATGTTGTCTCTGAAAGCAAGCAAGAGGAACCAAGTCCTGGGCCAGGGCATGTGCCTGGCTGCCTGCCGGGGTGCTCCGGCTCTGCCCACTGTTCCATGCTGGGAGCACAGAGTGGGCAGGGGCTGCCCAGGGCACGGTATTTGTCATCTCCAGCCTGAGACTATCTGACAGGGCAGAGTGACCTGGATCTTACGATGCCATCCCTTGCCTGTCCCCTCCTCGTGTGTACAAGGGCAGCCAGGCACCCACCCTGGGGGTCCTGGCTGGGCTTGCCAGGCTGCTCCCAGCACAGAGGGCAGCTGGCCACAGCCGCAGCCCCCCCAGTCCTTAGCACCAGCCCTGCTGCTTCACCACATTTCCCTGCCCATGATCCCAGTGGGTTCATCCCCTCCAGGCAGCAGGGACGCTGCGAACATGGGCCGGGCTTACAACATCCCGGCTCAGCCAGCCCCATCCAACAGGACGAGGCAGCTGCTGCATTAACTTTTGTTGGAGCAATAAAAAGCAGGAAGAAGCATTTTCCACACAGGTTATCTGACCGAGTGATTGAAACCCCCAATGCTTTGAAAAGTCCTTGCCATTAAAAAATTTATCTTTCCTTTTCAGAAATCGCCACCAATAGCAGCCCTGGGGCTTGCAGGCAGAGTTAGACAGTCCCTCCTGTCCCTCCAGCACTGGCCTGAGGCCGTAGGACTGTGACTTTAGCAGGAAAGGAACCAGGACAATTCCTTGAATAGATACGGGCTTAGATGGAAAACTGGGCTGAGAAATGAGGGATGAGACTGAACAGGAGGAGGGAGGGAAGAAAGTGCCCCAGATGCCGTGGGCAGCACGGGCTGCAGCAGTGCCTGTACCAAGAGATGGAATTTTTGCGGTGTTCTGGGTTTCTTGGGTTTAACTGCAACTACTTGGCAGGCTCAGGGCTTTGCTTCCTACTCAGTGCCGCTGCCAGCAGTGAATGAAGCACACGGAGGATTTCTGAAAGCATCTTCCCAGGACCAGAAGTAACACCTGCTCCAAGGGATGCCCAGCCCTGCACCCTCCCTCAGGGCAGAAAACACCCAAAGCCACCAAAGAGATGGACTGTGAGGAAGGGGGGAGACATGGCTTCATCAGGGCTCTTGCTCACTCTGCCTGGACTCACCCCTTCCCTTCCACCTCCCCTTCTCCCTCAAATTTCACCGAGCAAAACCACACGCAGGACCCTGGCTCCCCACCCAAACCAGGAGGCACAGCCTGAAGCCATGAGAGCCAAAGCAGAAAACCCCAGACGCTGAATGGAGCTGGCAAACCCAGAGGCTCAGCATCAAACCCAAACTGTGGCCAGAGTGCCCACAATGTGGCTCTGATGCCAGACAGCATCACTGGCTGGAGACCGGTCCCCTTCTCCATCCTTTTACCCTGTTTCTACCCCAAGCATCCCCATTTCCCTTACTTCAGCGGCGCATACCCAAAAGCTTTGTGGTTTTTGCCTTCTTGATGCCAAAGCTATTTTTAACTACAAAGCTCCCAGCCCTTAGACATTTTCCACTGTCTGCGAATGACATGGGCCATGCCGGCAAGTGCGCTGCGCTCCAGTACCTACCCTGGCGGCAGACGGCCACCATGGGGCCGCAGCAGAGCAGGACGGCGTAGAGGCCGGTCAGAGCCACCTCCATGCTGCCCCACATCATCTTCAAGGCACCCGGAGCCATGGCGAGGCGATCAGACTCCTGCCCGGGCAGGCGTGACGTGCTGTGCCGTGCCGTGATGTGCTGTGCCGTGCCGTGATGTGCTGTGCCGTGATGTGCCGTGCCGTGCCGCCCCTGGCTCTCTCTGTGCTTCCTTCCCCACAGCGGTGGCTTGCTCTCCAGCTCACGCAGCAGGGGCTGGGGTGGAAATGAAACGTGCCCATCTCTGCCCCAGAGGGAAACCCGGGCTGGCTCCCGCCCCCAGCTTCCTCTCCACAGAGGCAGAGATCAGCTGAGCCAGGCCTGGCCCCTTCCCCTCCCTGCGCTCCCGGCATGTTCCCACGCAGGCACCCAGCTGCCAAGCAGCGGAGACAGGCACTGCTCAACCCGTGCCCTTTTTGGGGAAAGCTCCCAGGGATGGAGCAGGCAGGGACCACAGGGGACATATCCTCAGCTCCAAGCCTGGCCCATGAGTAAAAGGGCTCTCTCGAGCTCCTGAGCACCCATGGGTGCTCCTACTGGGTGCCCATGGCAGTGTGGCACCAGGCAGCTGGGCAGGGGCTGAGCAGCCGTGGGGCACCCTGAGTGCCTGTTGGCAGGCTGCTCCCACCGGGAAGGGATGGGAAGGGAGGGAGAAGGAGAAGGAAGAGATGGAGGAGGAAGAGAAGGAGAATGGGAAGGAGGATGGAGGAGAAGGAGAAGGAGAAGGAGAAGGAGAAGGAGAAGGAGAAGGAGAAGGAGGAGATGGAGAAGAAGAAGGTGGAGAAAGAGAAGGAGAAATTTTACCTCCTTAGGTGTGTTTCTCCACAGACAGATTTGCAGAGAGCAGGGGCAGGTGCTTGGGGCTGGGTTGCTGTTATTGGGGTGACCTTTGCAGCAGACTTCTTTAATTTCTCCACTGGCAATGTTCGCCACTCATCTTGCTGACTAATACTTGCATTGGAAATAACCAAAGGTGAAAGCATGCCGTGGCTGGCTCCTCCGCTTCTCTCAAACACAGCTTCGCTGCCCCGCAATTTTGGAAAGTGTCAGGGGAAAATTAATAATCAGGGTGAAAGATGTGATTCTCATGATGATTTCATTATTTTCCGGGCTTTCAGAAATGAGCTGTGGGGCTGGGGCTTGCTCACCTCTTGCTTGCAGACACGGCCCTGGCAGGCGAGCGGGCTAGGGGAGCCACTCCTAATTTGGGATGGCCAAGGAGTGGGTTCTGAGCTGGGGAAGGCAAGGCTCATGCTGCATTGGTGGCTCAATCCAGCCCGTCCTGAGTCCTCTTCTCAAGTCTCCTCCTGGCATTGCAGCATCACCCCTTTCTCATGAGCTTCTGACCCTGCTTGAGCCACAGAGCAAGGCTGGGGGGCTGTCCCCTCCTTGTCACCTTTCCATGCCACCGGGCTGGAGGCCACCGCCTGTCAGGGTGGCAAGGGGAGCGCTCTCAGCCATGTGCAATGGGGTTGGTGGGCTCCAAGGTGGACATCGCCTCTTCCTTTGCAATTTCCTGAATTCTCCTTAAAAAACTCCTAACTGAACTAAACTAAACTAAACTGAATTCCAGAAAACATGGAAGCTCACAGCAAAAAAGCTTTTCCACCTTGAGGCTTTGTGTCCGCAAATGGTGACACCCAGGCATCCGGTCCAGGTGTGGGGAGGCTTGTTTGGCACTTGCAACATGTTTTGGTTTCTAGAGGCGGAAGATGTGACGGGTATCACCACCGAGATCACAACGCAACGAGCCAGGGATCAGCAAGAAAAACTGGCTCATCCTCCCCCCCCGCGTGGCAGCGGAGGGCTCAGATTAAAATCATAGCACAAATTGCTCAAACTTTCCAATGCACGCTCGAAATGGGACGTAAGTTGGTACCCGGGGTGGGGAGGCCCCCCCAGCCACTAGAAACCAGTGGTGGCTAGATGGAGACCACATGGCAGTGTTTTCAGATGCTCAGGTTCCTTCGAAAACCCGTGCCCCAGTGCTCCCCCACTGCTTCTCAGCAGGCTGAGGACGAGCACCAACATCAGAGCCTTTCCAGGCTGCCTGGGGTGCAGGATGAGGTCACGTGTGGCCAGGAAGCGCTGGGCAGCTTGCAGAGCCACAAAGTGCGCAGCAGAAACCACAGGGGAGGGTGAGCCAGGAGCTCTCCAGCAGCACGCTGATGGAAAGCTTGCTCCACTGCACGAGAGAACAGGGGTTTTTTTCCCCTTTTTGCTGAAAAAAAGATTAAAAGGATGAAAAGAATAAAAGAAAATATCAATCTCGCTGCTAGGAAGCTGCTGCGGGGGAAAGCAAGGAGTAGCGGTGCCATGCCCCAGCCCAGAACGTGCCCTGGGTGCCAGCATCGTGGAGGAGCTTGGCTCTGGTCCCACAGCAGCCCCAGGGCTTTGGGCAGGGTTTGTGCCCTGCCTGCACCCTGCCTGCACCCTGCCAGGCCAACACAGCTCCCACTGGCTCCTGCACCAGCTCCAGCCATGCTGCGGCTCCCGCTCATGCTGGTAAACGCCCTCCAGTCCAAACAGAGTGGATGGCACATCTTGGTGTTAGCTGAGGGGGGTTGAAAAAGGTCCTTTGATGCTTAAAAAAATAGATTTTCTTTCTCTGAGCTGGAGTATGGCAAATTGCATGGGGCAGTCCTCTTCTATTTGGCCACCAAAAGAGCAAAAGAAGGGCTAAAAAAAGGAAGGAGAAAGAGGAATAAGTGAGAAAAGAGTTTGTTCTTCAAAACTAAGAGACAGGAACTTCAGCAAGCACGTCACACCACTTCATTGAAGCACAAATGCCCTCTTTTTCCCCAACAAGAAGCTGGCCCAATGTGTCAGCAAGGGTCCCAGCAACGCGGCTGGGACCTGGACGAGGCCCTGCTCTCCTGCAGCAATCACTGTCGGGGCACACAGCTATCGCTCTGAGCAGTCACCTCAAAGGATCAAGGATCAGTCCCAAAATGTCTTAAAAGCATCCGGGGTATTTAAGGAGCACTGAAAATTTAGAAGATGAAGAAGACAGCAATGACCAGACACCCAAGATGTAACCAGCTGAAGCCCACAGCTGAATGTCCTCAAAGCCCAGGGAAAGCAAAGCTTCCCAAATGAGATGGGTACCACAAATTACCACAAAAAGATGCTGAGGAAGAGAAACCCACAGGTTCCCAAAGATCCCTCCCCCGTTGGTTTAACTGAACACACATCTGTGAGTCTGACCCAGGCAGGAGGCGATGCGGCTGGGGCAAGAAGAGGAAATGGTTAATAGTGTTTGCAAATAAACACGGAGAGCCTTGATGTCTTTCAGATACTTCTCAGAAATTAGGAAGGCCCCTGCAAACAGTTTGCATGAGCAACACCACCTGACCCTGCGGGGAAAGACAGCGGACGGGGTGGGGGGGTGTGAGTAAGCAGCGAGTAAGCAGAGGGATGGAGCGGAGGCATGAAACTGTTCCTTTAGCGAGCGGAAATCTGCAGGGCCTGGGCAGGTCAATGGTAACTATGACATGAAGGTGCCACATTGTGTTAAGTAACTGAGGTAAATTTGCTGAATCAGAATGAGGGAGCAGAGGAACGGGGCTGCATATGCTAGGAATGTATATACTAGAAAAAGGATATAATATCGGTTAAAACCAGCCCTGTGGTCCAGCGTGAATATGCCACGTAGCCCAGTCCTGTGGTCTGCTGCAGCCAAGGTTACTCAAGATGATAAA